CTCTCTCTCTCTCTCTCTCTCTCTCTCTCTCTCTCTCTCTCTCTCTCTCTCACACACACACACACACACACACACACACACACACACATCAACGTTACCTCTGCGAAAGAAAGAAAAATTATTTTACTCCTTATATTTTACTTCAGCCCTCCATAGCCAACAACAGAAGTCGCCGCGGGTTCAAATCCATTTTTTTTGCCCGGGCGGCATGGGTGAATGGCTGAAGGCACTGGTTTGTTAGATCACCCCCGCCACCGAAGGCCGCCTACCTCTCCCCCTTGAAGGCTTCCAATCCAGACCACCCTCTTCCCCCAAACAGAACACACAAACACACCCTCAACCTGAATGTACACAAGCTATCTTTTCGGCCCAATACAGTCATAAAGAGGATACGTGCGTTGTGTTCGGGGAAAGATGGTAGAGTATTCCGCTCTCTACTTTCTCTGCCCATCCGCCGCCCAACCTCCGCCCCGACCTCCCCCCTTTCTCTCCAATTCCCATTTTTCAAGGTTTTAAACCGGCAGCAGCCAGTGGAGCCTGGCGTCTTCCCCCCCGATCGTAACGAACCCGGATTGTGAATGTACACAGTCCATCTTTCCGGTGCGATACAGGGTGCGTTGGGTTCGGGGAAAGACGGTAGCGGAATTTAGAACCGTCGTCTACACAAATCATTCGAATCCGATCCAAAAAAATACAACGGCCTTTCTTCTCTGATGATGCAATTTGGGCGCGGCCGATTCTCTCAAGTCCTTAATGAGTACTCTGCTGCTTCAACCACCCCTTAACCCCCCCCCCTCCCCCCCCCCCCCCCCCCCCCCCCCCCCCCCCCCCCCCCCCCCCCCCCCCCCCCCCCCCCCCCCTGTCCTCTACCTCTACCCCGCTCAGCCTGCAGCCAGCCGGTTCACCCAACACCAGCAGCTCGATGACTAACCAAAAACCAACATAACAGCCTCAAAGGCCTCCAACGAGGCTCATTCCATACGCCGAAACGAAGGCGGCGAGGTGCCTACAGCTACAGGGGCTGGGGGAATCACACCACGCTTGCAGATAGAGTCTATCAGAACCAGTATGCACTGTAACCTCTGATTAAGGAGATGAAGGCTGTGTTGTGACATGACAGTGGAAACCGGAACAGCCTCCCACAACCATGTAATAGCTCAATGTTCAGGGAAGGGCTGCACTTGGGCCGGGCTAGAGGAAGAAAGGAGCTTAGAACCAGGCAGGACAACTTAGCAGCCCAATGGGAAAGAATCTACAACTCCACACTGGAAAACATTAAAGCTACATCCCCGGACAAGATGTACAGGGAATCCTGTTGTGCAACGTTGTATCCCAGGGATGCTGGACCCGGTTTCTAGCAGGTGCCACTCCCCACCAATAGATGGAGCAGCCTGATAGGCAAGACCTCAATTCCGGTGGTTCTCATACCACCACCGGGATACTGGGCTAGCAAATGGGCTTTGACAACCCGAAAAAAAAAAAAAAAAAAAGGAAAAGGGAAGTGGAGACGGGTAGGGGGCAAGGGCGCAGATGGGGGAACGCTTCACAGGGGCATTAACTTGCCCCTGGCTTTGGCCGGTTCCGGCCAACTGTGCTCGGTAATCCCTGATTGGTTAGAGGGGCTGAGTTGTTGACATGGGGGAGACTGAGGTGTAGAATCTGGCTGCCGCTTATATCAGATATGCAAACCGGCCAGGGGTTGATTAGACCCCCTGGTCTAAGATATGGATCAGCGATGGCAAGGTGCGTGGCACATGTTGCTGATTGGATCCACTGTGCTCTTGCTTTCAACCGTCCTTGTTTTGCCAGTTTTCAACTCGGGCGCGGATAGGTTTTTGTCTCATTGAGTCACTGAATGGAGTGCTGCTTTCTTCTGGCTGGGAGCAACGAGGAATGTGATGGCAGAGTTTTGCTTTACGGCTTCCAGTTCTCAACGACACCTCAACTTTGGTGATGACTACACATTTGAACTTTGAAGTGTGCACCGACAACATGACCTCTCTTTGCTCCTTGCCATGCGAAGAATGGACGGATGTGAAGATGGCACCCATGGGCTGGTTCTTATAACTCAACTGCAGCCCGGTGAAGAAAGAGCCTGCTATGGGAGGCTGAAGGCCATGCTCAACTTTTGACACGCACGCTCGCACATGCATGCACACAGATCCATATCTACACATACAGAGATGCACGCACGCTCGTACAAACACACTCGCCCACACATGCACACATGTATGCACACATGTATGCACACATACACACATGTGTGGACGCATGCACGCACACGTACGTGCATGCAAGCATATCCATACTCATACATACAGAGATGCACGTACCCTCACTTACACACACACACACACACTATGATCTCAGGGTAATCAATGCTGGCAGGCGTGTTCACGACCTCAAAGGAAAAGGGAGGGTTTTAAAAAAACAAAAGTGGGAGGGAGGGACTAGTTTCTTAGCAAGTAGATATCTGGCGCCTGATGCTAGGGCGAAGAGGTTTTCTCCCCTTCCTTAACAACCTGCACAGTCAATCCTCTGGTGGCCAGAGAGATCAATGCTGGCAGGTTTCACAGTCAAGTTCTCTTGATCCAGTCTGTATTCATTCTGCAATGCATTCTGTAATGGGACGGTGGACCCATTTTCCAGCAGGTGATGCTCCCCACCAATAGATGGAGCCTCCCCCCGGGTGCTAGTGGTGTCTGGCCTTGTCAGCACCACTAGCACTGCAGGGGTGTTTTTCACACACAAAAAAAAAAAAAAAAAAAAAAAAAAAAAAAAAAAAAAAAAAAAAAAAACCATGTACTTACCGCACACACACACACACACCCCTGTACAAATGCACACATGCACTTCAACACACACGTATACACACGTGCACATCTACACACATGCGCACATGGGCCACTGATGATTGCATCTTCCTCATCCTTTCAATTGACTCTTAATGTTTGGTGAACGTTATCTGTGGCTTGAAACTGATTAATGACTCAGAGCTGTTGGATAAGAAGGCTGCCTCTAATTACCGTGTCGTTTTAGACACATTTTGATCTCGTTAGGAGGTCTTCATGTCGTTTTGACGACTTATTAGTCTGGCGACTCCTTTCTTGCAGTCGGTCTGTACTGTGGAGCTTGCACCAAACATGCTTGTTTGCGCTGTTTTATGGGTATCAGGGTTTGTTGGTTAGGATGGGATTTCACGCTGTTTTTGTTTGATCGGTTGTTTTGCTGTGTTGATTCCTGTAGTGAGTTTGGTGTTCGTCACAGCCTAATTTATTCTGGTTGTTGAAGGGTTTCGGCAAACGAGTCTATACATGCTGGCTCTGTCGTTTGCTTAGGGATCGCTCGTAGATTTGTCCATGTGGGTTCTGTCGCATGGATGATAGATGCTTCGGATGTGCATGGGGCAGCTTGATTGTCCATGTGGGTTCTGTCGCATGGATGATAGATGCTTCGGATGCTCATGGGCCAGCTTGATTTCTCCCTTTGCCAGTTTTGCCACATATGCTGCAGTGTTGTTTGGTGCCTATGGGGTGATTGTAGTAGTTTCATCTTCATGACGTTCAGTGTGTGCTTGGGTCTGCGGTTTTCGCTGGCCAGATTTGAGCTTAGCTGGTTGGCATACTCAATCAAGTAGATTGGTTGCCTTCTTGCTGGTCACCCTTACTTTTGCAGAATCTGGATCCCTCAACTGATAGAGCTCTCTGACTTCCAACAGAATTTCTTTAATCTTGGGAGGAAAGCGGTATTGTGGGCACTATGGAATAAACAATGAGATGGAAAAGGTGAAGATTGAAAGTCAAGAATTAATGGAAATAATACAAAATTTTGTTCAAACAGAAATTAGAAGCCAATGGGAGAAGGCGAGAACTAAACTCAAAGAATTTAAACAAAAAACAGATATCAAACAGTGGATTCGAAAGTTTCAACTGGAATGGCTAGGGGATGCAGCAGGAGAGAAATTGGGGGAGGTAGTATGGCCAGGAGAGGCAGGGGAACAGGGGATGCTCAAGCGGGATTATCAGATCACTTTTAATAATTGGCTGGGTATCCAACCAGGGGCATCCTTAAGAGCACCTGAGCACTTTGCTGACCCATTCCCTCCCTCTCCACTAGCGATGGTGGATTTTGAGTGGTTTGGGGAGGGGGAGGAAGGATAGGATACAGGTTTAGACAAGTGATAGAAAAGCTCAAAAGGGGGAGACTAGTTTTATCACTCTTATCAGGCGGTCGAAATTTCGACTGAAGGGTACTCCTGCCCACAGGAGGAGGTTCTTTAGCATTTAAAGCAGTTGTTTAAGAGAAAGGGATGGTTCCTTTGGTAAGTGGATAGAGAAT